GTCACAGAGCTGGCCCCGGCCTTGGCCCTGCCCTGACAGTCCCCTGACAGTGATGATTAGGAAGGCCTCCGAGGGGAGACTTCTGCTGGCTGAGCCTTCGAGCCGGGGCCGAGGTGCATGGGCTCGGGCGTTGGCAGGCCTGGGTTTGTGACCCAGATTCTCCACTTGGCAGCTGTGGGGCCCTCTGCACCTTAGTGTCCTTGTCCATGTAGAGGGCTCACGCCCAGGTACACCTGGGGCCCCGGTCATGGGCCATCCCATTCCAGGAAGAGCCAGCATGTGCGCGCACCCCGGGCAGCCCTGCACACACAGAGGGCAGCCTGTGCCCCTGTTGCTCACAGCACCGGCTGAGGACATGTGGACCTGCAACCTGGGTCCTCGGGAGGCTTGAGGGTGTGCCAGTGGGAGCAGCAGGGATGGGTGGCAGGCTGGGTGCAGCCCGGCTCCCCCTCGCTGTCCTGTGCCCTCCACCAGGGGACAGAGGCGGAGCCGTGCTGCCGTGCTGCCGCTTCGCACCGCTGGGCGGTTTTCACAGCTGTGCAAATTTTGTAACCTGCTTGCATGGGACACTTTGTAAATCCCTTTCCTGCCCATTTCGTGAGAATTGGTGTCCTTGGCTCAGGAGACAGACAAACGTGGGTTGGAATTCCAGCTCTTGGCTGCCTCCCGACCCCCACCCGCTTGGTTCCCTCTGTTCCAGCCACACCGGCCTTCTCGCTGTCCCAACATTACACCAAGCATCCTCCTACCTCAGAGTCTTTGCACTTGCTTTTCCTTCTGCCCAGGACATCCTTCCTCCCTCCTGGCCCATGCCCTCATTTCATACTCAGATGTCACCTCCTCAAAGAGGCCTGCCCTGACTGCCTCAGTTCCTTCATGGTGCTCGTCGCCACTGCACCTCCATCACTCCAAGTGTCTGCAGACCATTGGTCTCTGTCACTGGAACATAAGCTCCATGAGGGAGGTCTCCATGCCATGTTCCTGTACCCCGGTGCCTGGCACAGGCCTGACACACAGTAGACACTTAGGAAAGGGCAGTAGATATTGTCAGAGAAACAGATCTGGGCTTCATGGACCAGGCTGTGTAGGGGAGGTGGTGAGCTCCCTGTCCCAGGAGGCATGCAAGCAGAGTTTGTTGGGGTTTGAGGCCTCATGAAGGTTGGATGGGCTGTAGGCTTCTCTGATGGTCAGAGCTGGGCTCCTGCAGGTTCCTGGTGTGGGGCTCTCCCAGGATTTCCATCAGGGCCTTACAGAATAAACAGGCCAGAGAATAAAAGGTGCCCCACATCTGCCTTCGGAGGGAGGTTTGAAGGCAGAGCCAGGGAAGGCAGGAGGAGGTTTCAGGTTTCCTGTCAGGGTCCTGATAGAATCAGGGCAGGAGAGGAAAAGAAGGAAGACAGGCTGAGGAGGGGCAGGGAAGGTGAGAGATGGGATGGGAGGCCAGGGGGCCCACTGAGGCCGAGCCTGCACCTCTGTTCTTCCATGTGTTCACAGCATGCACACAGGAGCCACCTGGCCTTCTGAGTCTCCCTTGTGCGGGAAGCTGAGAGAATGGGCCACACTTTGGGAGCCCCAGCCAGCCTTTCAGACCCACTGTCTTGGCTCTCAGGGACTGGGGTGAGGCAGGAGGGGAGCATCCTTAAATTGTGCACTCTGGGCACCTCTCTCACCTCCTAAAATGCCGCACTCCAAGGCCAGGGGTGAAGGCTCAGAGAACGGGAGTGACCTGCCTGGCATTACACAGCAAGTGGTGGTGGAGGGAAGGCCATCCCCTTGGCTGTGGGGCTGGCTCTCCACTGGCCACCCCAACTCTTAGCCCTGGCACCCAGCTTCTGCAGAAATTGGTGGGCAGATCTGGCTCCAGGGGAGAGTGACATGGGGGCCGGTCAGGAATGTCAGATGTGGCTGGTCCCTCCACATGCCACCAGGTACCTCTTACCTGCTGTTTCTTAGCTTAGGTTGTGTCTCTCAGGCCAGCCCTCCTCTGGAAGCCTTTTCTGACCCCCTGCCTGCTCAGTCTGGGTAGGATGGGGCAGAGCACAGTGATGTGAGAAATGAGAAACAAAAGAGCAAGAGAGGAGAGAAGGGCAGAGAAGGATGGGTGGGGAGGGGGCAGCCAGCCCTGGGCCCTGCCCTGCAGTCTCAGGCGGGATCTGACCTGCTGTGTTCTGGCTCAAACACTGGGGTCACAGTGAGGAGGGGACATTGCCATGAGGTTTGAATTCGGGCCTCAGTGTCTTCCAGTCTCAAGTTACACAGATGAGGTCAAGGCCTTTCCAACAGCAATGCCGTGTTTGTTTTTTGGGGGTGAGGGAGGGCGTGAGCACCCCTGGCTGAGGAGAGGGAGGTGTAGGTATCAGGGGAGAGGTCTGTTGCCCTTGGCACCCCTGCAAGGCCACAGAAGGACTCAGGCAAAGGGGGAGTGGGTGTCAGGGGAAGAGGAGGTTGGTCACTGTCCAGCCTCCTGGAGAAGGAGAGCCACCGGGGCGGGCCGGGTCTCCAGCTCCCCCAAACCACCTGCTCAGTTGGCCACCAAGGCTGCAGGAGACCAGGAGAGGGAGGCTGGCCTGGGTCTGGGAGTTTGCTTGAGCACAGAAGCCCAAGTTGGTAACCTGGGCTGCTGGCTAAGCTCTGTTCATCTGTGTCTGGGTGTTCAACTTTAACCTTACACAGAAGGGGAGATAAGCCCAGGTACCCCTTCAAAGACCCCCGGAGCCTGTCACCCCAGGGCTTCCTCAGCTTCTGTCCCAGGAATTGGGTTCCCTCTTGGCCTCCCCCTACCCTCCTCTACAGTGAGAATGTGAGCCAGACCCCCCATGCCAGACCCAGCCCCCTCTGCAAAGGGACACCTGTGTGGAGTCAGCTCTTGTTGTTACTGTCTGGTTGTGCACTTCGGGGTAGGGGTTTCCCTACCTCACTCTGGCACTTACGTGCTTACCCGGCTGGCCAGGTCCATGGGGTGGGGCGAGGCCCCATGCCGGGCTGCCCCAGGAGGGGACGGTCCCCACACCCACAGCCAGGCAGCCCCGAGCTTAATGAAGCGCCTGCTGGCACTGAGCGCCGCACTCATTATCCCGTTTTCTTGTCCCCGTGGATGCCAGGGACATGTGCTTGTCCCATTTTCCGGGGGCGAACTGGGGCTTAGCGCGGTTGAGCCCCGCTCAGGGTGTCAGCGAGCCATTGATTTCGCTGCGGAGTGCTGGGGCGGCCCGGCCCGGCCCCACGCCCGCTCCGCCGCACCTCTCGGAGGTGCTAACGGAGGTGGGGGAAGCTGGGGGAACGTGACCGCCAGTAACCCCGGCGGACGTCGGCGCGGAGCGGGTTAAGGACTGGCGTCCGCTAGTAACCCCGGTCCGATTCCGCGTCGCGGGCGCAACCCGAGCCTCTCGCCGTGGGGGCGGGGCGGGGCCG